GAAATATTCGGGATTGTGCTTGAGAGGGAAGGAAGGGATGAGAAGGGAGTGCCTACATTCGCATGGCTGGGCCGCAGCGTGGGGGACGTAGCCATGCTCCACGCTCCAATCCAGTCATGCAGCCGTTGGGTAAAAAGGAGCATTCGCACAATCAAGAAGGGAAAGATTACAGTTACACGCGCTCGCCAAGAAGAAGATTACAGTTACACACAGGGATTGAGGCGCGGAAAAATCAGAGCACAGATCCTGACGCGACAAGGCGCACGCAGGGAAGGGGCGCCATGCAGCTGCAAGAAAATGCGATGTCCTAAATTCCTAGTCCTTATTAAAATGTCACTTGCAAGAAGGAAATTCCGAGAACCTATGTCAAATTAAAAAAAAAAAAAACAAAGAGAACGATTTTCCCACGTGCTGGCTGAGCCGAAATTCCCCGTTTTTTTTGCAGAACAAGAAAGAAGTTATGGCAACAGTTATCTGTCGCGCTCGCTAAAGCGCGATTGCCACCAACCGCCACGGACCATACCAGCCTCGACCCYGGAAGGAGAAGAAAAAGGAAGGAAGAAAAGACGAGGGCATTCATGCAACTCTCCGGGCCCTTTCCCACTTTACTCGATCAACCCCCGAAGACTGTGTGTTGACTGGGGTATGAAACGTATTCCAGGGGATTTCGGGCGTCCAAGTGGTCGTCTCGGTTTGGCTGAATTTTCAAGACCAACTATTGGAAGAGAAGGTAACGTCACGCATCGCCAAGTGGAACCGTCCTTATCTCTCTTCACTCTTAGGAAGATCCCTCCACTTAACTGCGGCTGCTTTCTCAACCCTTTGGTTTTTCCTGGCCGTTCATCTGTTGGGAGACAAGGCCTACGCTGCCATCAAAGCCAAGGTAAGGAAGCTAGGGTTACCTGACTAAAGTAGCCTGGGAGGTAGTGACCTTCCTTAGGGATGAAGGCGGGCTGGGCATATTGGACCCGCGATGACAGAATTTGGCCTTGCTGGCCAGATGGCCAWTTTGCASMGTCTCGGACACATCTGACAAGTTTTGGATTGTTATGGGTGAATATATCCTGGGTAAGGAGTGGAACTTAAGCAATCATGCCGATGTCTGGCGTTGTATCACGTTGGACTCCTTCACCAACTGGCGCCCGAAATCAAAGTTTTGGAGTGCAGTCCTGTATGCGTGGAGGAAGTTGAAGCTAACTGAGCACACCGAGCCATCCTCAAAGACAAAGGCATTGGAAGAACTTTTATTAAAAACAAGTTCATCCTAGACGGTAATGGGGAACCTTTCTCAGCAGCTGATAGACCTGGCCTTTTTGCACGTAGATGGATGGAGAGAGGAATTCTACGTAAAGGGATATCAGACGCGCAGACAACTCAGATTGGCTGACAGAACAAGATTTGAGAGATCGCGTCCCATACCTGAGAGGAGGGGCGAAACTGCGAAGACTGTTGGAGGAGATCCCATCCCATTGGCTAGACCTGTTAGAGGCAGATCAACAGACGGAAGCAGACAGATGGTATCCTCCCATAGGATCTAATTTAGATCAGGTCTACAATAGACTAATTGAAGGAATTGATCAGCATCCTTCCATACTTCAGACCTGGACTGCAGATTATAGTGGGACGGACGAAGAGCCCCTCCCCCCCCTCCCCCTGACTCTTCAGCCGGAGGAGTGCGAAGTTGCTTTGAATCCAGACCAACACAAGGTATCCCTGTGGTTAAGTTCAGGCGTAGAAAAAAAAAAAAAGTAAAAAAGTACCACCTCACAAGTCTCGGAGAGGCCTCACCCCCACACTGCGCTCTCCAAAAAGGCCGAGTCTTTCCTAATTAAAAAAAAAAAAGAAAAAAAAGTACCACCACACAAGTCTCGGGAGAGGCCTCACCGCCACACTGCGCTCTCCAAAAAGGCCGAGTCTTTCCTAACACATTGGAGACCGCCCCCTTGGAGAGTGCAGTGGGAGAGGCCTCGCGAACTGTTTTCCTCCACTTGCCTACGGTAGTTAGAGAGTGCTCCTGAACATTTTTCCTTTTCCGGATAGGTGTGGCGATCCCCAAAATAGCACTAGAGGGTTGGGAACTCGCCGCACTTTGCGGCGGATTGGAAAAGGAAACTCGGCAAAAGTCTGACAGGTTTCCCTTTTTTTTTTTTTTTTTTTTTTTTT